AAAAAAAAAAAAAAAAAAAAAAAAAAAAAAAAAAAAATTAGAGGTGGAGAGGCTCATAATTAAGCCAAGAAATAAGGAATTAGCGAAAGAGTAGTGCTTGTACTCTTGTATAATAATAAAAGATTTTCTGTGTGGTTAGTAGGATTCAGCGCGTTATTTGATTCTACCAATTGAGATATTTTCATAAGTTTTTGCTTAAGAACTGTACAATCTTCATCTCTTTCGTGTATCCTTGCGATAGGTCTGACAAAAGAAAATTTTCAAAAAAAATCATGCTCGCGGTTGCCCATATTTCCTGCCAGATCTTTAAGCATTTTAAGTTGTTTTACACAAATGCCTGATTTTCGCAAGCTGTAACACTTTGATTGTTTTTGTTAGAACGCCCCTGAATGTGAAGCACAAGGCGGAAGCCAGGCGGATGAGTTGACGCATACTGAGCCGGAGCTAACTTTGCCACGATCAGAAGTGATTAAAAGGTTGAGAAGTCGAAGTCAACCGATAACGCTGTTTGGTGAAACGGAGCAGGAATCTCAGGCTCGGCTGCGCAGACTTGAGATCGAACAGGTATGATCTCTGGTTCTTCTTTCTAGGAATTGCTCTTTTGAAGTCTCATTCGATCCATCTGAAGGCGTTTTCTCTTGTCCTTCTGAAAAAAAAATATTTTTTTTTGCTTAGAAATATCGCCGTCATTGCTCGGCGCGGTACAAAAAACACTTTTGTTCCTTTAGCTTCGGCAAAATTTTTGGGTAATTGTTCTTCAGAGTTTTGAGCCCTTTGAGTGGATGCATGTTATTTTGTATGATACTGTTTATCTTGCTGCGAAATTGCAGCCTGACATGAAAGAAGGATGGAAGAACGACTTCCAGACAGCAATGAAGGAGGTGGACCATGAGCTGATCGAAGAAGTAATCAAAGGGGGCGAAAGCAGTACTGGTATGGTATCAGTGATTTTCTCTGTGAGGCTTTTACAAGTGCTTTTCAGTTGTTATTGTGCTTTTCAGGCAAGCATGATGTGGATATGTCAGGCACAACAGAAGACGCGAGCTGGGAGAGGATTGAGGCCAATGCAAAGCTACTGGGTGAGGAGGAATGCCCGAGCAGGGATTGTGATATAATACACGAGTTCTTC